CAAAGAACCCTGGCCACCCAGGTCATGGCCAACTCCCAGAAACCCTCTGTGGAAGTGAATCGAGTTAGCACACTTCCTGCAGCCACTGTGTCCACTACCAACTCATTGCAAAGAATCCTGGCCACCCCTGTCACGACCAACTCCCAGAAACCCTCTATGGAAGTGATTCGAGTTAGAATGCTTCCTCCAGCTGCTTTGTCCACTACCAGCTCATCACAAAGAATCTTAGCCACCCAGGTCATGGCCAACTCTCAGAAACCCCCTGTGGAAGTGAATCGGGCTAGCATCCTTCCTGCAGCCACTGTGTTCACTACCAACTCATTGCAAAGAACCCTGGCCACCCCAGTCACAACCAACTTCCAGAAACCCTCTATGGAAGTGATTCAAGTTAGCATGCTTCCTCCAGCCACTTTGTCCACTATCAGCTCATCACAAAGAGTCCTGGCCACCCCGGTCATGGCCAACTCCCAGAAATCCTCTGCGGAAGTGAATCAGGCTAGCATCCTTCCTGCAGCCACTGTGTCCACTACCAGCTCATTACAAAGAAGCCTGGCCACCCCGGTCATGGCCCATTCCCAGAAATCCTCTGCGGAAGTAATTCAAGTTAGCATGCTTCCTGCAGCCACCCTGTCAAATACCAGCTCATCACAAAGAACCCTGGCCATCCCAGTCATGGCCAGCTCCCAGAAATCCTCTGTGGAAGTGAATCAAATTAGCATGCTTCCTCCAGCCACCCTCTCAACTACCAGCTCATCACAAAGAACTCTGGCCACCCGGGTCATGGCCAACTCCCAGAAATCCTCTGCAGAAGTGATTCAAGTTAGCGTGCTTCCTCCAATCACTCTGTCCACTACCAGCTCATCACAAAGAACCCTGGCCACCCGGGTCATGGCCCCTTCCCAGAAATCCTCTGTAAAAGTGAATCGAGTTAACATTCTTCCTGCAGCCTCCCTGTCCACTGCCAGCTCATCACGGAGAAGCCTGGCCACCCCAGTGATGGCCAACTCTGCGGGCCACAACATCATCAAAGTGGTGGGCCCTGGATGTGGAGCCCAGGCTTTGGGGAGAGGTCCCAGTCCCAGGAAGGGCTCTACCTCTGGGACCATAGCTCCTGCAGGAATCAAGCCCAGCACCCTACCCTCAAGAGCTCAGCCACCAAATGCAGTGCCTGATGCACCGCCGATTCCTTCTCAAGTAGGTGTTCAATTTATTTTAAATAATGCCTCCAGTATCAGTCCAGTAACTCTACTGGGGCTTCCACAAGGTTCGCTCCTTTTGAACACCCCGCAGCAGCCTCAGCAGCAGTGGCTCTATCAGTTGATTCCCCAACCACAACTCCAACAACCCACAACTACTAGTCAACAGCCCACAAGTACTGGTCCTCAGGAGCCAGTGCCACAGGGTTCAAGTGCACGAGGTTCAACCAGTCAGAGAACAGTGTCATCTGCTCAGCAAGCCATTGTCCTTAACCTCCCTGGAGCAGGAAGTTTTCTGCAGCCCCAGGCGGCGCTGTTGGCTCCGCTTGGCTCTGCAGAGAGCCAGAGAAGACCCCGGCAGATCAGCCCTCGCCCTGCGCACCCAGTGCTGCCGGCCCCTGCCTCGCAGCCGCCGGCCCCACCACAGGCACAGCCCTTGAGAACCTTGCAGGGCCCCGTGGCTGTCTTGACAGTGGCCGCGCAGACAGCTGGGCCGCCTCGGGGCCAGCAGGCCGCGAGCCAGTCCAGAGGTAAAATTAGGAAAGGTACATCAACTACTCCAAAATCCTAGGTCTTGCATTACTTCTCTCTCTTTTTAAAAAACAAAACAAAACCAAAAAACATTGAAGCAAAGATTTTCTGAGTATTTACTTCATCTTTGTCTTTAATGTCTCAGTATTTTACATTGCTAGGTATACAAACCATATAGAAGCACAACCTAGTGCTTTTTATATAAAAACAGGGAAATGTTTTAATGAAAAAAAAAAAAGAATGGATTTTGATGTTAGCTACCATCCGGTCAATATCCTAGCTCTGCAGTTTACTAACCTTAAGCCTATTTCCTAAATTCACTGAGTCTCCATTTCCTTACCTGTAAAATATTAATAGGAATATTTACTTCTCAAGTTTATTGTCAAGGTTAACGTAAGATACATTAAGTATTGAAATTTAAGTTTAAATTAATTTTAACTAATATAAATACTAAATATCTGAAAGAAATAAACCTAAATATTTAAGCTTAAAATAAACTATAGTAATAATATTAGTACAAATAATAGTTTCGTTATATTTCATAAAAGCCAACCTTGGAATCAATGGCATATAAGCCACAGGAACTTAATTCTTCAAAAAAAAAAAAAAAAACAAAACTAGACTTTTCAATGTATGTGTATACACACACACACACACACCTTTTAGGTTTTCAAAATTACAGAGATACAGGTACAGCTATAGACATAGATGCAGATGAAGATACAGAGATTTTAATCCTCTATTCAATAAACAGTAGTCCTTTTACTCTACCTAGATGCCCCACATGGTGAATTCTCTTTCTGATAAAACTGGATGCATTAGGCACTTGTAATTCATTCTTCAGTAACTGGGGGATGATTTGGATATATGACTCGATATCATTTGCCAGACAATATTCTTCAAATGCATTATTCATGTGGTGCTTATTATTTTGCAAACATTACATAAGATACAAATGCACCTGCTGTCTCCTCTTGCTCCTCTATTCTGTCTCAATTATTTTGTCCCCACCAGACAAGATAATAATCACAAGAGAGAAAAGGTAAAATTTTCTTGACTTACAATGGTCAAGTGAATGAAAAATGGTAGGTTTAGATGAACTGATGAAACAAATGACAACAGGGAATTATAGGGAAAAGAATATATAAATATTTGTGATATTTAAAGACAGCTGCTAATTAAAAATGATTTCTGCAGCTCCTAAACAATATATTTTACAATAGCATTTTACCTTTATGATAGCATTAAACATTCCCCCTATTTAAGTAAATTCATAAATGTGGGTAATACTTTTAAAATACTTATATGTAGGGGCGCCTGAGTGGTTCAGTCAGTTAAGCATCTGACTCTTGGTTTCAGCTCAGGTCCTGATCTCAGGGTCCTGAGACTGAGCCCTGCCTCGGGCTTCACGCTCATCAGGGAGTCTGCTTCTCTCCCTCTGCCTCTCCCCCCTCAAATAAATAAATCTTTAAAAATAAATATAATAAAATACCTATATGTAACTGTAAAGATTTATATCACTCAAAAATGTCACCTTTCCGAGTTTCTGAAGTTTGCTTCAAAAGAATGAGCTACTGAAAATATCATAAAAATATATTTGTTAAATAGTTCTTTTTGTTAAAAGACTTTATTTTATTGTAATATTTGCTATTTCAGACATCTACTTGGATGACTGGTAAGCATCATTTCGCTTTACATGTCCAAGTATGATGGCTCAAATATAGTAGTAAATATAAAGAAAAATAAGAATTGAAAATGTACATTGATATAAGTATCCTTTTCAGATTTTGGGTTTTTCTTTTTTTCAAACAGAGATTGTATTACTTTGCATGAATTTCATAACATTAGCATTTTTATTTAATTGGTTAAAAATTTGCTCTCTATATAATCATTAATATATGTAATACATATTTATATTCTCTATATTGAATATCACAATAGTCTTTTTAAAACATCAAGAGTACTAAATTGGAGCTATTACTCTAAAAAATCGGATATGTATTTGAATGTAATTTCTTTTATCAGTATTTGAATGTAATTTCTCTTTAAGCAGAGGTTAAAATCATACTTACATGTAAGAAACAAGAAAATTAAATACAGCTTTTTTGTTTTCTTGGTTTTAAACCAAGAAAATATTCCTAAAGTTATGATCCAGTCATAAGTCATTCTGATGAATTATAACAAAAAAATTTTCTTTTACAAAATTATAAGCCCAAACTGAGGAACAAGAAGAAGACAAATCAGTAAGACTCTCCTTTTTATTTCAACTTACCCCATTTCTTGTGCATTTGGATTTCTTAAAGGTTTTGAATTCTGGGCATACACTTAATCTATGCAAATAAAACAGTGTTTTCCTGTCTCTGTTTAGCTGTTATTTTAGCATGTGATAGTAGTCTGATGGAGTTTTATTAGACTGGGGTGCTATGTTTGGGATGACAAACATGAAATAATTCTGGTAACAAGGACACTTGGAAGTGGTGCTCATTCTCTACTGCAAATAAATGAGTTATGCATTATCGTTGATTTATAAAATGATGTAAGATTAGTTTTCTGATGCTGTGGACACAGAAAACAAATGGTAGTTTCCAGTCTAAGCCCAAATCAAACATCCCAACGTGAAACCCCCTGATTTACAAAAGAAGTTGCCTTACACATGCCCCACTCCACACAGCCTACTTCACCGTAGGTGGGTGAAGGACTTTACATGTTTAATGACTGATGATTCCTGGAGGCAAAGAGGGAGAAAACCAATCAAAACTAGCAGTGTCCAACCATTCACCTAAAATGCATTAACAGTGACTATGAGGGGGTCACCCTACCTTGCATTTATTCAGTCATTTATTCACACACATTTATTGAGCATCTATTACAGGACAGATTATGTCAAAGCCCTTAAGACAAAAGTAAATGAGACATAATGTCTTTCAAAAGCTTACAGTCTAGTACATTAAGAACAAATATTAACAAAGTAGAGAAAACTAGTTTGGCTTTGAAATCAAATTGTATTTATGAAGCACAATTTATGCATTAACCTTTTAATTTTTTATTGTATTTCGAGACGGGCTTTCAATGATCATTTTAAGAAACATTGCAATTTAGGATTTAAAATGGAAACAGCAACAGATATCCAGACGTAGTGTTGATGTAATATCACTTTTTTATCATTTGCCCTCATTTCAGCTTAATAAGCTCTCTTGGCTCTCATCTTTCAATGTTTAATCAAAAGCAATTAAACTGATATGCAAATGCCATCTCCATTGCTTTAAGAATGACACTTAACACACAATTTCATTATAATAGGCAACTGGAATGTTTGTAGAATGATCAGCTCATTTTTATTTTTAAATATGTGCTTTTCTTGCAATGTATGCTTGTAAATAAAATGTCCACACACACAAATTTTATTTGATAAATGCCATGTGGATAATATTTGTCTTGTATACTGAACATGAAGTTCATTCCCTGTGGTATTTCTATTAAAAGCCTGCTATTCTTTTGCTGGTCTCTAGAGAAATAAATATTTTAGCTAACGAACTGCATTAGCAAAAAGTATAAGATAAGCAGAAAATGAACAAAGTGTGTGTGTGTGTGTATGCACATGTGCACATGTATGTGTGTTTAAGATAGACTCTTTTAAGATTCAGTTTCAAATAAGGTATCAGAAGGTTATAGTGGAAATGCCAGACATATTTTATGAGACCAGATTCAATTAGTTAGATCTGTAGAGTAGGTTGGTTGTATTAATGGTCCCAGTTCTTCACTCCTGCCTATATCCATACCCTTTGCCATGTAACCTCCACTCTGAGTCTCAGTCTGCTATGTGACCTGCATGGGCCAAGTCATGAAGCAGGAGCTTGAATCAGTACTTACACATCTCTTCTTCCTCTGTTACACCTCTGCTGTTGACATGAAAACATGCCTGAGCTAGCTTCTGGAGGCTGGAAGTCTCATAGAGCTAGATTCTAGCATTCCCAGTTATTCCATCTTAAGATAGCCAAAATCAGTCAACAAGTAGTTAACTTCTAAAGAGAAGGTCAGTTGTAACTGGCTATGTTTAGGAGACCATATACTTTTTCATCCTGAGAGTAATTTTTTTTATCATCATCAGTTAGGAAAACACATTATGTGGGATAGTACATATCAATGTCTTAAGTTTTAATAGATTTTCTGTTAAGCATTAATGACGTATATTCAATAACATCCTTAAACACTCAGAAGCTTTAGAAAGATCCTCTATTAAAAAGAAAGATGTTGCAAATGTCAAGATCTCATTCCTTTTGATGGCTGCATAATATTCCATTGTGTATATATATATATATATATATACACCACATCTTCTTTATCCATTCATGTGTCGATGGACATCTTGGCTCTTTCCACAGTTTGGCTATTGTGGACATTGCTGCTATAAACATCGGGGTGCACGTACCCTTTCGGATCCCTACTCAGCCATCAAAAGGAATGAGATCTTGCCATTTGCAATGACGTGGATGGAACTGGAGGGTATTATGCTGAGCGAAATAAGTCAAACAGAGAAAGACATGTATCATATGATCTCACTGATATGAAGAATTCTTAATCGCAGGAAACAAACAGGGTTGCTGGAGTGGGGGGTGGGGTGGGAGGGATGGGGTGACTGGGTGATAGACACTGGGAAGGGTATGTGCTCTGGTAAGCGGTGTGAATTGTGCAAGACTGTTGAATCTCAGATATGTACCTCTGAAACAAATAATGCAATATATGTTAAGAAAAAAAAAAGAAGAAGAAGGTAGCAGGAGGGGAAGAATGAAGCGGGGGAAATCGGAGGGGTAGACGAACCATGAGAGACAATGGACTCTGAAAAACAAACTGAGGGTTCTAGAGGGGAGGGGGTGGGAGGATGGGTTAGCCTGGTGGTGGGTATTGAGGAGGGCACATTCTGCATGGAGCACTGGGTGTTATGCACAAACAATGAATCATGGAACACTACATCTAAAACTAATGACGTCATGTATGGGGATTAACATAAGAATAAAAAAAAAAGAAAGACGTATCAGGATTTGAGCATTTCTTCAAAAAGGAATTATTTTTCCTTGGTCTAGTAGCTGAAAAAACATGTAAAGGCCAAATCAATTTTAATAATAAGTGTATATTTATCCCACACATTCACTCAATAAATATTTATTGAGAAACTACTATGTGCAGTCACTGTTCGAAGTTATAGGAAACAAAAGAGATAAGCTTTTGGATTTTGATTGAAGTGCTTTGCTTGGCAAACTCAAATAAAAAAAATCCTTAATTCAACCAGATACAATAAACCCAACAACATGAAAATCACTAAAAAATTTATTTTGACAGAAATAAAAAGTTAAAAATATTAAATTTGTGTTTATGCGCAAAAATGAAACAAAAATATAAAAGATTGAGATATGGGAGCTATAATTAATATGGCTTAATATTGTTTTAATTTTGACTCTTACAATTAATTCCTGACTAATCTGCGCCCCAAGACTTATATGGCTAAAAACCATTTAAGTGAATCTAAAAACTTACAGTTTTAGCATGATCTGAAGACAAAGAGTTGGCCAATTTATTAAACCCTGAATCATGGAAACCCCTACCACTTGTTGGAAGTGTTTAAGGGTTTGGAGCATGGTGCTAAGGTGAAGTAGATGGGATTTAAATCCAACTTCCACCATTTATAAGTTGCCTGACCTTGAGTCAGTTATTTAAACTCTAACTTATTATCATAAACATTTTTTTAAAATTCCAGAGTTGTACTATAGTAAATATGGCTTTTTAACTTTGGAATTATTAAGAGTAGACATGGTTTTTTCCTTCTGATTCTACGGCTCCATGCAATCCTTTCTTACCTATAGCAAGAATCTAAAATGAAAAAAGCAAAAAGAATTCTAGCCAATTAGCATAAGTTTACCTCAATCACGTGATGTGATGCGCATTGGGTGTTATATGCAACTGATAAATTATTGAACACTACATCTGAATCTAACGATGGCTAACTGAATTTAAATTAAAAAAAGAAAATAAGTAAAAATACTGTTTTTTCCCCTCAAAATGAAATATTTCATAAGATTCCTAGGCCAGAATCTAAGTAAAACTAGAACTCAAAGAATTAAATGGAAAACTGAGGATATTTCCCTGAGAACATTAACTGGACAGGGGGCTCGGTTAAATAACACACTGGAGAGAGCCCCCATCCAGTAAAGCTAAGGGCTACACCCTCAAGAAAATGATAAAACATACTAAACTTGACCTTCCCCAAATCCTTACACATCATTAAGGTAGATTTACACTACAAATTCATATTACTGAGTCCCTCAAAAACCTCAAGCCACGAATTTCATTTAATTTATAGTGACCCCAGAGTATCACACGTTGGACACCTGACAAGGCAAATGGAAATCCTTTCTAAAAGAGTTCTCCTTTGGGGCGCCTGGGTGGCTCAGATGGTTAAGCATCTGCCTTCGGCTCAGGTCATGATCCCAGGGTCCTGGGATCGAGTCCCTCATTGGGCTCCCTGCTAGGCGGGGAGCCTGCTTCTCCCTCTGCCTCTGCCTCTCTCTCTCTCTCTGACTTTCATGAATAAATAAATAAAACATTAAAAAAAAAAGAGTTCTCCTTCATCCTAAGCCCCAGAGAATCCACAAAAATAATATTCCAAGGAAAATGATCAGCTCATTGAAAAAAAAAAACAAACAAAAAGCAACTAAGCACAAAAGGAAATAAGGGGCCTTGAGCAAAAATCAAGAGAAAGAACAGAGAGTAGCTCTCTCTCTCTATTCTCTGTGGTGAAAATACAGATTTAGGATATCAACCAGCACTTTTAAAACAAAGAAATAAAAGACAAGCATAAAGCATATATGGATATTTCTATACCTGTCTACAAAAATTACCTAGCCAATTTGAAATAAAGCAATTCTTCGAACTTCCAGAAAATGAAAAATATAAGGAGTGTACTTGTGCTGAGCACCAGGTATTGTATGAAAGTGTTCAATCACTATATTGTACACCTGATACTAATATAACACTGCATGTTAACTAACTGGAATTTAAATAAAAACTTAAAAAAATTAAAACCTCAAGGGATAGGTTTAATATCACATTAAGTACAGCTAATGAGAAAATAGCACTAAAGCATACAGTGGTGGGAAGGGGGAAGTCACTAAAATAGGAAAGTGACCACCATCTCTCGAACATCCTTTACTCAGGGCGAGCCAGGACAAATGGGTAATGGAATACTCATTATAAATGGGGTGGATCTTGAGGGTCACAGATGATGGTAGGTTAGCTTTCATAACAGCCAGATGTAAGGACACCAATGCCACAGATTTCTAGACTGCATCCTTGGCATTAGTCACCCTTAAAATGAATGTTTTGCTGTTTATATAAAGGACAGGAAGAAGGTAGAGCAAATCAAAATCCACTTTCAGGAAAAAACAAAACAAAACAAAACAACCAGAATGCTGGCCATGTATGTTAGAAGCTTCTTCCCAAGTACTTAATTTTATAATGTTTTCAGTGCCAAAGTGAATGCAAAGAGCATAAAAATGTGATGTTTTTGTTCTGTAATCAGACTTCCAGAGAAATAATAACCAAGGTCTTATGTACCAAACAAGGTACTAAGGGTTTTATACACATTATCTCCTCAACCCTCACAATATCCTTGGAAGAAGAAATTAATATCCTCCTTTGATACCTAAGGAAACAGATTCAGAGAGAAGAAATAAACTGTAAATAATTGAACAGGATTTGAACTCAGGTCTGCTGGCTCAAGAGCCCAAGCTCTTAATACCAAAAACAATGTTTTTTTTTTTTTTTTCAGTAAACTCTATATCCAATGTGGAGCTCGATCTCATGATCCCCAGATCAAGAGTTGCAGTCTCCACCCACTGAGCACTGAGCCAGTCAGGTGCCCCCCAAAAATAACACTAAAAATAGTGTTATATGTTATATATATACTTCTAGTGTTATATATGTATTTTAGTGATATATACCTATGATATGTGATATGTATATATTTTATACATGTATATATTTTAGTGATATATATGTATACACATGCACACATACATATATATGTAAGTAAATCCAGGTTAAAACATCAGTGCCATCTCATTTTAAAAGCACTTTTTTATATGCATGCCATTTCAATGAAGTTCCTTCCAAATTCCTTCCCAGATCTTTGACAACTTACTATTAAACTGGAAGAATACTGCTAGGCAAAAGGACTCTATCCTAAATATAAGTGGTTTACCATTCTACATTGTGAACAATGACCTAAGTGGAAATACAGAAGACAACCTGATAAATATGACCAATTTGGGATCTAAAAGATCACGCAGCTTAATGGTCAACTATAATAGGACAAAATGTAACATCAATGAAGAGAAGAGCCTCCATTTGGTTACACAGCCAACTGCAAAAGATTTAACAGCTGCCACAACAGTGGCAGCATGGGACTAGGAGCCATCTGGGGGATGTATCCAAACTAATTTTAGCTAAAAAAAAAAAAAAAAAAAAAAAATCACAATATTTAGACCAAGAGAGGGGCTAGTCTTGTTCTTCTCCATGTGTTAGACCAAAGGAGAGTGATGTGACTAGAAGCTCTGTCAAATGAATCACTGTGAGAACGAGAGATATTTAGCCTATAAAAGAATATAGGAGCATAAGAAGTGGGAGAGGTGACAGAGGAAGACATGTGTCCCCAGGCATCTGTCCATAGGGAGACCTAATGATTTCCTGTCAGGGTGGCTTTAAATTCAATTATGCATGCTAGATGTATTGAGAGTAGAGCCCCTTCAAATTTTGTTTTCTGTTTTCTGTGGGTTTATTAGTAGCTGGGAAACTCTAGCAAGGATCTGAGCCAAAGAAGGCATAAAGATATTACATCGCTTCTGAGCCCCATTTACACTCCCAGCATTACTGGAAGAGTAGACTAAACAGGGACATTATAACTTTCTTAAAATATCAGAAGAGTTTTTGTAAGAATGAAGAACTGCAATTGCTCTAGGGTAGGGTCCCAAGATACAGAACTTGGCTCAAAAGGAAGGAACTCTGGCGAACTCAGAATAAAGAAATTTCTAACTGAATGATGCAAACAAAAATGCCTGCCTCAGGACGTCATGGACTTAAAGTTCAAATATAGGTTAGATAACCATGTGGCAGATATGGGAAAGAGCACATGAGTTCAAAAACTAAATGAGCGAAAAAGTCCCCTCCCTCATCCTATGATTGTTTTAGACTAAAACTCCCAAACCTTTCTTTCTTTTACTCTTCCTGGATCTTCCAGTCTCATTTTCAAGTAATGGCTTGAAACAATCGTCCACAAAATTCTTCTAGTATCTTAAATCCATTCAGTTAAAGACCAGAATATATCATCTACCCAATTTCCTGTTCCTATTCTGATACTACATTATCCTAGTCATCCAAGCAGGAAACCAGTCATTATGGGCCCCTCCCTCTCCTCCTTAATCAGTTGCTAAATCATGTGGATTCTGCTTTACAAAATGTTTCTTATACCCACCTCCTCCTTTCCAGTTCTTTCCCACTCTCCTAGTCCAAACCTTCACTATTTCTCACATAGGCCATTTGGTAATGAGCTGTTAACTATTACCCCTCCTTCTGATCTCACCTCCATTCTATTTATCTGATATATGACAGCCAAATCAATTTTTCTCAAAAATAGGCTGGATGACACATCTCCCTCTTCAAAATTCATTACCTCCTACAGAATTAAGTACAACCCCCTCACAATGGGATGTGATCTGAAAGCTACACTGAACTTTTCCATTCTCTCTCTTACTGTGATCATAGGTACAACACCCTCCATTTCTGCCAAAGCTTTTGACTTTATATCCTTGGATTTTCTATCTATCTTAAGTGACATTAAGCCCTTGCCTGGAGTGCCTCTAATTTTCACCTTTGTAGTCAAAACTCATTTCAAACATTACCTACTCCAAGACATCTTTACATGTGTGATTCCAGTCATTTATAATCCTTCAGAGATGTTTATTTATATTTTCTTTAGACCACAGTGTAGTCCACTTTGTATTATAAGTATTTGCATACTCAGAAGAATTCACCCTATTATATCAAAAGCATAGAGCAAGAGTCACTGATGCTCTGTAGCATCAGGCACAGTGTAAGTGTTCAATAAATAAATAAATAAGAGACCAATTAGTACTGCCGCTTTTCAGTATATACATTTCATTCTTTAAGTTGGTATTCTCATAAAAATATGACAAGTGTATAGTCCATACACAATCATCACCACCACTGGATAAACCTGCCAAGGTGCATTTCCTCCTGAAAGTCAACAGTGAAAGTTTAATAAACCCCAGGAAAAGTAGTTCACAAAATCCATCAGCTCTCTCACTTAAGAAGATATATCATACGTACAAATCAATTCTCAGCATAAAACTCCCTTTCTTGTGGGCATTATATTTTTGGCTTTATTTAAAGAGTAAAATATATAGATACACATATCTTACTATGCTCAGGCACTGTTATAACTGCTTTACAAAATATAACTCATTTAATTTATCATGCAGTTTGATATATAAAATCCTTCAATTCAGGGATAATGTTAAAAGTATCTTTTATGATGCCTGCTTAGCCACATACATTTTTAAGTGAAACTTCTCCCTTTTAAGCACAAACTTAATCTCAACTGAAGGCAATGAAGCAGACTCCCAGCTCCTACCACTCCCCTCACCCACACAAACCTCTACAATGAGGACAAGTGAATTGGAACGGTGACAAGCAAGAGGGCAGAATACCAACTCCCCAAAGATGTCCATATCCTAATCTCCAGAATTTGTGAATAAATTATCTTACTGGGCAAAAGAGACATTACTAATGGGATTAAATTAAGGCTCAAGAAATGGTAAGATTAGCTGGGATTATTCATGTGGGCCCAATCTAATCACAAGGGACCTTATAAGGAAAAGAGGTAGGCATTCCTTTAATACTGACTACACCTATGTAAAGATCTTGACAAGCACAAAAAAAGAGAAGAAATGGGTCTATTCTCACTCTTTGGGGGTTTATCTATTTATTTTATTTGCGTATAATTGACACACAATGTTACATTAGTTTCAGGTGCACAACATAGCAGATGCTACATTGCTATGTTACACTCTGCTCACCCCAAATGTAGCTACCGTCTGTCACCATACAGTGCTATTGCAATATCGTTGACTATTCCCTATGTTGTACCCTTTATTCCCATGACATATTCCATAATCCATAGTTGGAAACCTGTACTCTCACTCCCCTTCACCTATTTGCCCATCCCCCACACCCTTCCCCTCTGGCGACTTTCAGTTTGTTCTGTCTTTATAGGTCTGATTCTGCTTTTTGTTTGTTTGTTTATTCTTTTGTTTTTGCAGATTCCACATATGAGAGAAACCATATGGTATTTGTCTTTCTGCCTTGTTTTACTTAGCATAATACTCTCTAGGTCCATTCCTTCTTCTTTTAAAGTTCAAATCAAAGAACAGAGCTGGTCTCAATAAACAAGAAGGAATATATTTTGGTGATAACTCAAATAGCCAGAAAGTCGCATTCCTATTTTAGAGGAAATATGAAAAAGCACAGGGAAAAGAAATATAAAACTCTTGCTAACTGCCCAATTGAGTTAATAATATTCTATTGTTTGATTTGTAATGTGACTTAATAATTCAAAGAAACTGTCATGTATTATGCATGTATACACATACATACATGTTCATAGATACACCATTTTCTATCATACACCATTCACAAAATAAATCCTAGATTGATGATACATCAAAATGCTTTAAAAAGCTATAAATATGTACCTGACTTCAGATTCTGACACTGGGATCAGGAAGGCTGGAAGGCGTTCTTAAATAACACACCCCAAGGGCGGGGGGAAACATGAAAGACCAGATGGATACATTAAACTTATAAAATTTAAAAAAGTTTTAAAAACCTAAGCTAAGTAAAAACAACACATTCTAAGAAAATATCTGCAATGTATAAAATCTTTAAAAGGATTAAAAAGAACAGTTTACAAAATATTATCTACAAATCAATGAGAAAATAAAACAATATAAAAATGGTCAAAGGTGGTAAACTAGGCATCTCAAAAAGGAGAAAGAAAAAAAAAAGCCAGTACGTCTATGAAAACCTAAATTCACTACAAATGAGAGAAACACATATTAAAATAACACATCGATAGCATTTTCTCTTTTCATTGCTTCTAAAAGATAGGGGGCCTATGAATTCTTATACCCTGCTGGTGGGAAAGTAAATTGGTACTGACATTTGGAGGGCAATTTCACAGTATCTATTAAAATTAATGATGCCTGTACCCTATCAGTTCCACTTCTTAGTATCTATCCCAAAGAAATACTTGCTTATGTGTACAATGAGGCATAATCCTGGATTAGAACGGAAGCATTGTTTGTAATGGTGTACCATTTGGAGAATCCTAAACAACTACCTATAGGGAAACAGCTTAATACATTTTTTGTGTCGTGTAACTGTGAAACATTCTTCATCAGTTAAAAAGAATGAGCTGAGCCTGACATGGGGAAACCTCCAAGATACATAAAGATAATCTGCAAAACAATTCATACAATTTCAGTAAAAAATATCTGATTGCTTGTACTCTAGTCTTAAACTATGGTTACCTTTGGAGAAGTTAGAGGGTAGAAATGAGTAGTGGCCAAAAAAAACTACGGTGTTCTATGTGCATTTTATTAAAAAAATTTTTTTTTACAAAAATAGATTTGTTTTATTTGTCTAATTTAAAATATGTGAAGATTATAAATGCTGTAAAAAAAAAGGAAAGTGAATCAAGGCAAATGCTTATGTAAACTAAGCAGCTAGATGAGTAAATAGATGAATGAGGCTTTTTAAATTTCCCTTTCTGTGAACATAAATATATTTCATGTTTATGATGATACAATTTAATTCCATAGATGAAAATATGGACTTGAGTATGGTAAAAAAGCCCCTAAAATGAATAATTAATTTTATTATTTTTTTAATTTCAAAGATATATGATCTTCTATTTCTATTCATTCTTACCCATTTCCATTGAATTACTTTTCTGGTTGAAATGAAATGATCATGTCAACTGCAAAAGATTGAAATCCCAGATCAGTGAAACTTTCTGAGCAGATTTACAACTTGTTTTTGGGAACAACAGAAAGCAATGCATGTTACTGAATAATGAAAACATGGGCATAAAAATGGAATATTTTCATATACATGGCAAAGCTTTGAAAATATCTCCATGCAAAGTGTGCTAATAAATGTCAATTTTCATGTACTTGGCATTCTGCTCATTTACATTAACCCACTTTTGAAGTATCCTTAATACAGAATTTTCTCCCTTGTTTTCCTACCTACACACCTACGCCTATGTGTGTGTGTGTGTGTGTCTGTGTGTGTCTAAGGTGGGGCAAGAATGAAAGCTTAATTAAAAAAAG